GTCAAAATCCTGACCATATTAGGGCAAAATTTCACTAAGTGTTTTGATTCATGATCATGTATTCTTAAAATTATAACTTGAGTGCAAGCACTTTTGGAAGTAGTTGTGTGAAGCAAAGTTGTATATTTCATGGAGATATAAAACTTTCATGTTGTAAGTTTCTTTTGAATCAGCTTGCATCATGGTGAAAATTTTGCTCAAAGTTGTGCACAAATAAGCAATTTCCAACACTTAGAAAAATTTCTAAGTTTAGAAATTTTTACTTTTCAAAATGAAACTTTGAATTTTGGATTTATTGATGAATAAGTTTAATATTTTGACATGTTTTGATGAATTGTGATCTTTGGCATTTGAATTTGACTAAAAATTCAAAGTTTGACTTTTCAGTATACAGTTGACTTTTGATCAATTGATTAAAAAATTCATTTGTCAATCTATTGGACTTGAAATGTTTTGAGCCATGTCATTAGGTCAAAATTATGCAATTGGACTCTTGAGATCATTCCTTAAACCAATTGATCATTTGCTAGGTCAAAAATCAGAAATTGCCCTTTCCTAGTCAAAACCCTAATTTTGATCATTTTGCCCTTTTGGAGATTTGATCAAATTTCTTGAGGAGTTGTGGTCTAAACTTGATCAAATGATACATATGAGTTTAAATTGTTGATGTGGATAAAAAATTATGAAGTTTGACTGTAAATTGGTCATAGTTAACTTTTTTCCCCAATACAGCTGATTTTTAGGTCAACTGCTCAATTGACTGAACACAAGTGTGATCCAAGGCTTGAAACTTGACATGAGTAATCTTGGGGGTCCATAAGGATCCATGGAAGTCATAATGAAGCATTGGAATTTCAAATATCCTTGTGCAATCTCAAACCCTAATTTTGGTCATCAATGCTTAAGGAGGTGTCTTTACCTGATCAACCCTAATGAAGTCTTGAGCCCAAGGAGATATTGTGAGCAAATTCTTGATAAGTGAGAGGGAAAATTTTGGGGTACAAAAACGTGCCATAATTGTTTTCTTCTACATGTGCTTAAATTACTTCATCAATAAATATTAGTTCTATTTTTTTATACCTTTTATGCTTTTTTTATATTTAATAACATAACTCTTTTATATTTTCAATTATAATTTTTAATTAATGAATGGCTTTTTAAATTAGTTCTATTATTTTTTCTTCTACATGAGAAAGTTGCGCTTCATGTTATCGAGTCTCAAGGACGAGGTCGGATACAACGGGAGGAATTGTCTAGAGGTTCTTCTTCTGCTCTGAAGAGTCGTCTGTCTCAGGCGTCTAACTCTCGTGCGTATGAGCAGATACCTGGTGAGGAGGTTCCCGATGAGGAGGTTCCCGATAAGGAGGTTCCTGATGAGCATGTTGAGGTACCCGATCATGTTGAGGTACCCAGAGAGGAGGTCGGCTATCTAGGAGGGCCTTATGGCACCTCCATATTGATCTATTATAATGATTAGGCCGTTCGACATGTTTGGGATGGAGAGGTATTCTTTTGGTTACATTTTTTCATTATAAAGGTTTAGTCACAAATTTATAATTAACGGTTATTATTTTTTTGATTTTAGGAATGGTTGCCAATTAAGTATGTGAATCACTCGCAAAAAATATTTGAGTTGTTTATACTTGCGGCTGATTGTCTCCATTAGGCCGTTGTTGGATCTGTGATTTTCGGACTATGCTGCATTGGTTACAGTACTATAAGCCACGAAATGCATGGTGCATTTGTTGAGAGGTGACACAGGGAGACGCCATCTTTCCACTTTCCTATTTGGGAGATGACGATCACACTTGATGATGTTGCTTGCTTGATCCATTTATCTATAAGAGGGAGGTTACTTAACCACCACAAGATAACACGAGATGACGCAATCGAATGGATGATTGGGTATCTGGGTGCTAATTCATATAGGGCAGCTGAGGAAGTCAGAAGCACAAATGGGGAGCATGCAAAATTCGCGCACCTGAAGGATCTATATGAAGAGCACCTTGTTGCAGCAGTAGCGATCGAAGATGAGGGTGATGAGGTTTTTGTCCAGTACCACCGAGATTGTGCTATATGGTGTTACTTCATGTTTATGGTTGGCACGCCCCTCTTTTTAGATAAAAGTGCCCACTACGTAGATGTGACATATCTATGGTATTTTATGGATATGAGTAATGTTCATGAGTGGAACTCGAGAGCTGCCACTTTGGCATACCTGTACCAAAAGCTGAATGAAGCCTCAAGGTGGAGAGTGAGACAGCTTACTGGTTCTTGTGCTCTCCTCACGGTACCTTTCATTTCAACTTTTACCATTAATTTTTTTATAATTTGTACTTACATATTCTATGTTCTGTTTCAGAGCTAGATAATCTCTCACTTCCACCACATTCATGGTTTTGAGCCTGCTCAGAGTTATACTAACGACACAACGATGGCTGCAAAGTATGTCCTCCACAGAGGGAACCGTAAGGTGCCATCTTACCGGGTATCTTGTCCCTACTAATCATGATGACATCAAATGGATGCCATTTAACGATTACATGGATGTTGTCCCATTGGATTCCATCTCATTATACTCTGGGTGGCTAGTATGTGGGTCGAATCTTATGGTCAGGTATCTTCCGAGAGGTGTATCCGACAGCTTGGCTATGTGCAGATGATATCGAGATTCACTTTTCATGCTGCTTCTGATGCCATTGTCTGGCGGGATCTCAATGCCATCTTCTAGGATTGGGAGAATCATTTGGTGACACATGAGTATCAGATGATGTCGGCATCTGAGAGTTGGCATTATGTAGAGGGTTACATGACATGGTTCTTTAACGTGTCACACCCTATCATGACACCAGATGGTCCTGGACGACCACCTAGGTCAGCTCATGAAGAGATCTTGGAGAACCAGCAGGTCAAGGATGACTATGCCACTGATCTCGTACCGGTCTGTTAGCGGATATACCTACTTGGACATGGGGCATTGGATTCCAGTATCATCGAGAGGGATGGTCCTGAGGCGGTTGCAATGGTTAGGAGGATGGTTAGGGAGGCATCTAGTGCGGCGCAGTACAGTCGACAGAGGAGGTCATAGGGGGTGAGGATCAGTCATACGTAGTAGCAGTAACCTATGTTATGTATTGTTTTTTGTAACTGATGTAATATTTTTATATTACACACTTTTCGAACAACTTATGTACTAAATTATGTTTCTATATGTTTGAACATCTAATATAATTGTTAGGTCCGAAATGTTATGTTCATTTCATATTTTCAAAATAATTATCCGTTTATATGATAGCGGTAACTATGTTGTCGTTATCAAAAATGACACACACAGAGGATGTTTCAGAGATGCACTTTCAAAGTCACCTCAAAAATGTTTCAGATGTGCATATCCGAAACTACCTCAATAATTTCAAATCTAACGTTTATGTTATAAAACCTAGGAAAATGGTGTCTTCAGATAGCACATCTGAAACATGCTGATAAATGCATTCGAAAGTACATCTCCAAAAGATATTTTCGAATTTTCACTGATAATTTTCACCACTACTAAACATAAAGAGAAATTGTCTAATAATTATTGCACATATTTTTAAATTCTCTCAAAATATTCAATATTAATCAAATCAGCGTATCAGACCGATACATGCATTTAGACACGAATATCATAGTAGTTTTCAATAATAATTGATAACACATTGCTTGATAATTTAGAAGGATGGAGAGGAGGCGGCCAATTTAAATTCCCCTACTAGGGTGACCCCATTAGAATTAGGCTGGACATATATTCAAAATTATTTCTATATAATCTTTATACTCCAGTTTGAATTCTTCAAAATTATTTCTAAAAGAATATCTAGAAAAAATTAAAAATAACTTTGTCTCATTAAAATTATAAACTTTTGTATTTATCTTCTATACACGTTTTCTTCAAACACTTATCTTCCACATATTTTTTATTATTAAATTAACAGTATTTTAAAATTCAAATCAACCATAAATTCGATTAAATTTTTAATTAGACTAATGAATCACCGATGAGACTACATTATGAACTTTATACCAAAAATAATATATAAGCATAATTTAATTTTTCTTTAGTAATATAATTAGTTTTCAAATTTTTTGTTAATTTATAATATTATTATATTGTATAATTAATTTTTAATTTTATTTTTAAAATTTATTATATTATCACATTGTATGATTAATAATAAATAAATTTAATAAAAATAAATTAGAAAGAAATTTTATAATTATTAAATATCTTTTCTCTTTTACTAAATTAAATATTAAATGAATTTATGATGTAGTTGATAAAATTCTAATCCTAATAGTTTTGAAATGTTACAATCTAATTTTAAAATTTGAAAAAAAAAATCATTTTTATAATTTTAATATTATTTAATTATTATAAATTATTAATATAACTATAAATTTTAATAAAATTAGATTTTAAAAACAAAGATAGTATGAAAAATGAAAAAAAAAATAGAAAAATCAAAATTATAATTAACTTAAAAAATAAATATATAAAAATTAATATAATGGATCAAAAATCTACTGGTTTATTTGCCTGATCAATGAATCAACGAAATTATATCGATTTTTATTGGATCAATTATAATTATATTTATCCTCTAATTTACGATATAATCCGCCAAAATAGTTGGAATTTTAAAGCACTAAAATTTAATCTAACTAGTTCTCTTCATATATAACAAATGAAAATTGACGTCACAAGTATATGAAGAGAAATAATGAGTGGTGGTAGTAAATGGAATACGGGTTGCCGACATACGAAAGCAACAGTATTTGAAAGGACATGCATAAATGTATTCGTATACCCTACCTTACTGTATTATTTATGTATGAGTCGATAGGATAGCCACAATTTGCATAGATATTTTTTCATTGCATAATATCACAACATCAGTAATATATTATAAATAACTGAACAAGCCTTCAAGTAAGCTATCACCAACCATTACTTAAAAACAATGGCATCAACAGGATCTAACGATTTTTTGGCGGGTGCAAAGGGAGCAGCAGCTTCAGCACAGAAAACTATAGGGGAACAAGCTGGGAATGTGGCCACTGCTGCTGGAGGTGTTCAGAAGACAGTGGGAGAGTACGTTGGCAAGGCTGTTGATTATGTTAATCCCCCCAAACCAGAACCTAAACCAGAAGGTGTGTTTGCTGGTGTTACTAAGGCTGCCGGAGACTTGTTTAAGAAATGAAATATCATCTTCTGATTCATTAATAAGGACACTAAACTTGTCGTTTCTTTAAGTACTAATTTCTGTCTATCTTATCATCATCTTATATGGTACGATATACTCAGTTAGAACTGTTTTTAATAGTGGATTGAATATGTAAGGTTCCACTTTACTGTCTTTCAACCAACATCCTCATCCTCTTTGTTTATGTTTTTTTTCCTTCTAATTCTGTTGCATATTTATTTAGAGTAATACTACTTTGACATTAAATTCTTACATCTACATCTAATACACTGTTTACAAATACGTAAACAGTATTTTTTTTAATTTTTTTTAAAATTATTTTAATTAATAAAATATTAAAACTTGATTAATACACTTAAAAAATTTAGTTAATATATTTTGTGACGTAAAATAATATATACCATTCAAATTTTGGTTAATAATTTATATAAAATTAGTTAATACAATTTATATCTTAGTTAATGAAGTCTCAAACATAAAAAAAATTAAATAATAAAATAAAATTAGTTAATAGAATATAAAAATTGATTAATATATTTATAATTTAGTGTTAAAATATAGTTAATATTATATATTTTATTAGTTAATAAAATAGTAAAAATAGTTAATAAATTATACGTAAAATAATTATTTAATAACATATTTTTTTATAGTTAATACAATTATAAAATTGATTAATAATATAATTATATATTTGTGTCATAAAATAAGTTTTAAAAATAAATAAATTTTTTTAAAAAAATGATATTATTTTAATAAAAATATAATACTTATTATATAAATACAATGAACATTATATACAGTATAACTATTTAATGTCAAATTTAGTGTCAAAATAAGATTACTCTTTTATTTAATCAAGTTTGTTGTCTTTTGTTCTCTTTTAGCTACATTAAATTATTTGCTCTTTTCACCTGTGTTAATTAATTCTATACTAGAAAGTTTGGATCTTGTTTTTGATTAAATTAACTTTAATCTCTTTCAATGCCGGCTCTATGGAGGTGCAGGCAGAGAAGACCAATCGTATAGAGTCTAAAAAAAATTAGGGATTTCAAATTAGAGGATGACCTTATTAAAAATGTGACATATCCTAGCGAACTCCACAGTCATGATAAGTAAAATGCAGGACTTTAACCATTAAGATAAATGAGTATACAATGGTTATTATAAAACATTAAAATAGATTGAATAGAAGTTTATTTATTGCATAAAATAATTTTTATTATTTTTCGTCTTTTTCTATTACGGATCTAATTGAACAGAGCCGAGACTTCAAAATATTTTGGGCTGATCTCTTTAGAGATTATTTATCAATGTAAAAAAAAATTACATCATCCATACATCACAATCCATCATATATTTTAGACATGATTAAAAAAAACCAAACACATATAAAAATTAATAGTTATCATTAGTTCACGATATAAAAAATTATTCAAAAATTCTAAAATGAAGTGATTTATGTAATGCGTGAGACATTTTTAGTGAGGAGACAAAGAGAGAAAAATAAAGGAAATAAGAATTTTATTATTCAATTAATGAATTGTACAAATTAAGGATACATACTATGACTATTTATATATAACCCAAATTCGGATTGGAGTAACACAACTTGGATTATATTTAAATATTAAATATAATCAAATCTAATCTAATATATTTTAATATTTCAACACACCCCTATAATTTAAGTTATCGAACCTAGGCTAGTCACAGTCGATTTGAACTATTCCTAATTTATTTTTTCAAATTCAGAAATCTATCGATATTCAATCCTTTTCGTGAAAATATCGGGCAATTGTGCTTCACTTGAGCAATGCCTAACTTCAAGTTCACCTCGATTTACCTTTTCCCTCAAGAAGTGAAACATAGCTTCGATATGTTTACTTCTTCTATGCAGAACTGGATTTTTCATCAGATTTATGGCTGACTTGTTGTCGATTTGTAACACTAGAGGTTTCTTCACTTCGACCTCCATTTCTTCAAGTACAGATCTGATCCAAATTGCTGGACATGCATCATAGGATCCTGTTATATATTCAACTTCACACAATGACAATGCCACCACAGGTTGCTTCTTCGAACACTGTGAGATTGGGACACCAAATACTTGAAAGAAATATCCAATTGTTCTTTTTCAATCTTCCTTATCTTCACACAAATCAGCATCTAAAAAAGCAATTAACTATTGCTTCTTTGTCTCTAGAATCTCGTCGAAATATTATTCCACAATTTATTGAACTCTTCAAATATCTCATAATTCTTCTTGCAGCCTTTATATGTGACACTCTTAGTTCACTCATATATCTGCTTACTAATCCGACAACAAAACCTATATCAGACCGACTGTTGCACACATATCTCAGAGATCCCACGATTTGCTTGAACAAAGTTACATAAAGGTTATTCAACCCAATCAATGAGAAGATTGTGTTAAGTAGAGATATTGTGACTGATGAAAATTTTGTCTGGGATTGGAATTTTAATGATGTAATTAACAAACCATTGATGAGTTATGGTTTCGACGAAGAAAATGATGAAGTCAAAGTCGAAGAAATTGCAAATATTCCAGTCAAAGTCGAAATAGTTGTTGACATTCCCGACAATGTCGAATTCGAAGAGGGTATGGCTAGGACAAGCCAAAGACCTCAAAGACCTAGATTTCGTCCAACTAGACTTCAAGACTATAAAGTAACTGACGATGATGAAGTAACACAACATGGATAATTGGTTCATTTTGCTTTACTTGCAGGTGATAAACCAATCTACTATAATAAGGGTTTAAAGATTCAACAATGGAAATTAGCTATGGTCGAAGAATTACAGGCAATCAAAAGAAATAACATATGGGAGTTAGTCGAATTTCTAACACAAACAAAAACTATCAAAGTGAAGTAGGTGTTGTTGTACCCTAATTTTTGACCTAAGATCTCACCTCTCTTTGCACCATTTGCATAACATCAAAGATCATACCATTCATCTATGCATCACTAACCTCATAAAAATACAAAGGTTTTGTCTTATTTTGTTTGTTTCTTATACAATATAGGTGTGTTGGAGCAAGATGATCCAACAGTTGATTGATCAAGGACATGTATATTCCTCATTGATTCAAACTTCTCACTCACTTATGATGATCATCACCTTCATCACAATCCTCATCAATAGGATTCATCATGGATTCATCAAGTGCTTGAAGATAATTAGGGTTTTGACACCCTTAGTTGAAAAGTCAAGAATTAGGGTTATGAGGATTGATCTTCATGGCACATCACTCAAGAGATCCTCAATATAATCATCTCATAGTCCTCAATATGTCCCAATGTGTTGAAGGTTGCATTGTGATCACAAGGTTCCATTTAAATTTGAAGATTTTAATTCATCTGTAAAAGTCAACTACTCAAAGTCAAACTTTGACTTTTGATATTTTTAATCAAATATGGACTCCTCAAGTTACATTACATAAAAATGTGATTTATATTTGAATTTGATCAAGTGAAAACACAAAATTGGAGGTAACTTGAAAAAAGGGTAAAATTGATGATGTTGAAAACTTCATTAGGTGTCAAGAATTTATTTTCAAGTACATGACTTTCCAAGCTTGTATTTTCTTCTTCAAGCCATCATTTTTCATGCCCAAAGGATTTAATTCAAGATAATCCTGCACACTTCAACATTGTAGAAGGAATGAACCAAAAAGATAATGAGAATTGAAAGATATGAGTTGATTAAGAAGGCATCTCAAAATTGTTAAAATGTCCAAAGACTTAGAAGAATTTTCTAAGTGTTTTAAGCTTGAAACACCATTTTTATAAAGCAGTTTTCTATGTGATCCCAATTGATTCAAGCCAAGTGCTCAACATGAAAGTTGTAGAGTATGCTCTCATTTTTCCAAAAAGTCCAAGAGCATGAATTTGTCACACTTGAGCAAGAAGTTTCGAAGAGGTGAAGTTGGAATCCAAAACTGAATTAGAGGTCCATTTTCATGTCAAGTTCATGTGCAATTTCAAAGCCTAAGCTACATAATCACACTTTTCAGTCCAAGTAACTTGAAAATCTCAACATAATTGCGCAACTACACAGTCCAGTGATATATTGCACAAGGAATTGAAGCTTTAACCATTTCATGATGCAATTTTTGGATGAAAATGCAAAAGGCTAGATATCCATTTCCATAAGGCTCCACTTTTCCAACAACTCTCTCCTTTCAGCTTGCAACTTGTTTCTAAAGATCACATACAATCCTATTAATCACAAGAAACCTTCTAGAGGTAATAAAAGCATGGAAACCTTACTCATTTCACTCCTCATTTTCATCATGAACAAACATACATTTTTGTGCAACTTGAAAAAAATTGAGCAAACTAGCATTCCAGCCGAATCACGAACGATTTTTGCAAGTTACATAGACCATTTGAAACCTTTATAAATAGAGAACCATGCCTCAGAACCAAACACGCAAAAATTGCACCAAAAACTCCATTGTTGCAAGCTTCCAAACCTTAAACACCAAACTCTCATTTTGCTTGTGCACTTCTCAATCTAATCACTCAAACACCATTCACACACCATATATAAGCTTCTGAATGCATTAGTTTACATATGGAATACCTCCATTATTCCATCCAACTCGTGCTTATTCACCATCATAGCTGAATTTAGTTAGAGAGTTTGAGACAGTTTCAAAGCAAACTAAAAGTTGCATTGTGTTCCTGGGATATCACACAAGATAAATAAATCATTTTCATTCACTAAAAGTTCTTTAAGAAGACATTGGACATTGCTCCAATAGGTGAGTTTTTCTTTATTTTGAAGTCATCCATATAAGCTTCATTTTGAACATTTCTTTATACTATTCTGTTCGTTTCAATGTCATGAATGAAAGCCCTATGAAAATAGGTATTGGTTGAGCTTGTTCATCTTTTAATTTAACTTTGAAGAAACTTAGGGTTTTTGGTTTTGAGTAAAATTTGTGAGCTACAGTTGGTATTAATTTG